AAAGGAGTCTACTGAGGTATAAACTTTGCTGTCAATGTCTGATTGGAATGCTTTCCAAAAGCGTTAAAATAAGTTTGGCTAATCTGGGGTTTTATTTAAAGTCTGTATGATCATCTGACTACTACTGATGTGTTTTGCCCCACCTGCAGTGTCGTATTTTGAAACGTAGAACCACTAACCAAGCTGCAGTATTTGCTGGGAGTGAGAACGTGTTGCATTACACTGCACCTTAGACATCATAAGATTTAAATGCATTGTCATGCAGAACAACAGTTGGCCTCTGACAATGAGATGAGATTAATAAATGGATGTTGTGGAATGATGATAAGTATGTCTTGAACTGGTCCACAGACTGGAAGAAGAAACCCCCAAAGGAGTGGCTAGATCTACCCACGATCCCCCTTGTTGTGCATGCAGTCCCATCTTTTGGCATCATCCTACACTGCACTGTTATGCAGGCACATGCTAAAGGCATCTCCAAGATAGCTGATCATTCTGAATATCATTGTGCATTATTTATAATATATAGAGAGGTTACAAAATAGATTTTCAAATGAAAAGTGTTCTTTATGTAATTAAGTTTTCATAGACCTGAGATATAAATCACAAAAACAATTTAAGTTTAAAGAACCCACATTGGCATGGTAAACATTTACATTGTGAACATCCAGTTAATAGTCATCCAATTATTAACAGACAATAGACATCTTCACTGCTTCATCACAAAAAGACAAATTTCCTGCTCTAGCAGACAACAAAACAATATGGTAGTTTTACATGCAGCTCACTGCTCCCTCAAACACCACAATCACTGCCAGACCCACATACAAAAAGGAACGGTTGCTCTCTGGAATAGCAAATCCTGACCTACTCAAAGTGGCAGAAAACACAATAAATTACAAGTGCTACCATAGCACCACCAAACATTTGCAAAAGACAGTTTTACCGTGATAGATTACATCGGTTTGCAATGATAACTGGCAGATTTACCACCCAAAATGTGGTGTAATTTCTAATACATTGGCTCTTAGATTTCACAGAGAAGTAAACAAAAGCAGGTTTCTCATTTCTCTGGGCTGAAATGAAAACTGTCACTAGCAGGTTCCATCAGCTATAGCTTAGTGTATAAGTTAACCCCAGCGCTGGTTGAAAACTCCTTCCCAGGCGTACTTTTTGTAGTGTTTCCAGCTGATTTGCTCTACAACGAGGAACATGTAAAGTGGTCTTAAATATGCACATGTGTTTTGAGCAGGCAACATACACATTGGTAAAAGACTGAGGCTACAGCTATATGTCCTGGGACAAAAAGTTATTATCCACACCAGCCACAGCAGCATTGTCAGTATTGAAGGGTAGACCTAGTTAGCGCTAGTAAACAATAAGAGCTTTTTACCAAGCGCTGTCATGCTGTTGAGCAAAAATAATGTTAGTGAAAAGCATAATTGGTTATTATCCCAGTGGTAGGCCAGGTGCATATGGAGTCAATAATTTTGTGCATTTTATGTGCAACATAATAAGTATAATTAACAGCTATTTGATTGGCTGTAATCACTGGCTCTCAGTATTAATCAGTTTTGTGATTTTTTTTCAGAAATCCCCTTACATTCCCTGACAAACTTTTCTTTCCACAGACCACCATCCCGGGGCGTCAGTGTAATGGACAGAGAAAAAGAGAGAGAGAGGATGGTGACCTCCTCGAGGGGGCATCCTGACATCATCCACAGTGGCGCTGGAGACATGGTGCTGTCACAACACACAGCAAGGGGGGGCTGGCTCGGTGTCACCAGCTCTGACACGCTGGGGAATGACCCGAGCTGGAGCAATGACTGTGACAGTAATGGGACAGGTCTCTGGGAAAAGGGATGGGTGGTGGTGGTGGACGGAGGTGGGGGTGAGTTGTTGGATGGTGGTTTGTTGAGGATGATCAGAGAGACAAGGCATAAGACCGGACAGGATGACTGTGTCAGAATGGATGGTCATTGTTTGGATACTTGAAGTAAAACAGTTCAGACCTGAGAAGTGAAAAGTGTGGCTTTTATCAGTATGTCATGCATAAAAAACATCTGGAGAGCTCCATATTTGCCTTCTCCTCCATCTTTGTAGTTTGTTGTGAGAGATAGAAGTTTGCAATCTTCTTGGTGAGGGTCTTATATTTCCATATTTCTATTGAACAACATTTCTGGTGCAAGCCACATTTCTAATGGAGATTTTGGAAAAAGTCTTGTTGCCTCTGGCAGGCACAATACAGGGGTTACAATTCAATAGTAAACAGTAAAAAATGTACTTTCACTCTTCACTCTAATTCTCACAGATTCCGCCACCAGTGGTCCTATTATTGGTCAGCTAGGTTTGCTAATGCTGGCGGTGCACCCTTTCATAGGCCTGTGTTCTTTATGTTTACAGCACATTAGCAACATGTGCTTACTTCTTCCTGTCTCAGTTAACATTGTTATGTTGGAGTGGAAGTGGTGGAAAATAGATTATAACACTGCTATCAAGCGACTGGGGGTTTAAACACAAAACAGCTCCACTGCCAGGAATCTCTCATGTAAACTATTAATTAAAAATCAATACAGTGTTTTTGAGAATCGATATCACAAAACATAATATTGCAAGCGCATCGATATTTTCTTATACAGCTAACATGCATCCTGCAGCTGGATTGCCAACAGACATTGTGTATGCAGGCTACCCAGACTGCAGTAGGGGGAAAGAGGTGTTGATCCAGTGATTTGCTCATTTGGGTCAGTTCTCTCTTTTCTACAACGTCTGCACTTTCACGAGGGGTTTTGGAGAAAGGTTGCTGTTTGGCCACGCTCACCCACAATGTTTTCTGCTAGGGTTTAAGATGAAAACTTCAACTGATATATTCCCTTTCCCCTCAGTCGGAGTTGGTTTTCATTCTTCAGGCCCTAAAAACACGTGTGAACCTACAAGGCAAGCCTCTCTTAAATTGTTGTCTTCCCTCCAGACGCACAAGAGTGAGAGACTTGTGTAGCTTTTAGTCTATCCCTGACATCTTTCCCCTTACAGGCTGAATCTGCACTTCCCCTTCAAAACTTTTCATTTTTGAATTCATTTAGCAAAAGTGATCTTTGCACAATCTGTGTTCAGACAGGTGCATTGGAGAAGAATAAATGAATTCAATTCAATAAATGTAAAGTGTTGACAGTCTGTGGGAGATTTTGATACTTAGAGTTCATCGAGGTCATGGATGAATCAGCCAGATGTCCTCTCGCTTCCTCCACATAACGAGTATAGCAAGGAGAGGCTGCATTGCTTGTGTCTCGGTTGTGAGTTAAATGGGCTCCCTCTGATTGGCTGAGCATGTGCATGTGTACTGAGTGTGCTGAAGTGGGTGGCTAAGTGAAGAGAGCCTTAATGAAGAACTGCAAGTGATCATAGCGCTAGAGCTGTGATACGCATCATTTCTTCAGTTTCACCAAAAGGCTGCTGGTGTTTTAAATATGAAATCTGTTGGTCAGTACAAATAAATCATCTGGAACAGCTTGTTTTTAGACATTAATATCACTATTGACAACCAACTCTGTAGCTTTGCTTGGATGCTGCCTCTTTCTTTATCACAGATGATGTGGCTGCTTAGTTTTAATAGGAGAGATGGCATCCTCTGTTTCTCTGTCTATTTAACATTTCTCCTCTCTCCCCCCCTCCCCTCTGCCTTATAGAAAAAAACTGTAATAAAACGATGGAGCATCAGCATTCTCTAGAGGCCAATGGAGGGCATAACATATTCTTTGTAGAAAGCCATTCATCTTTCTGTCTGTCAGATCTTTCTTCTGTCTGCTTCCTCTCAAAGAAAGATAGTATAATATTTATTACAGAATCCAGCCTTGTGCAGACTGTGCTGTTTTGAGCAAGGTACAATCTGACATTTTTTGAAAAGGACTGACTGGTGTGACGTGAAAATACCTAACAATGCTGACATTATTCTGTCAGTTTTCATCTTACATATCACGTAATTGTTCTGAAGTGCAGCTGTGTACCTTTGTTAGAGCATTTGCTTCCACTCACGGTATCTGTTGCATTGATGGCATAGAAAGCCAGCAAGTGGGTGTGTTAGCATCTCATTTGGAAAGTAAAAGAAAAAGAAAACATCAAACAAACAAACAATAAAAAAACACCCAACAGGTTTTGGACTACTAAGAGACATCCCGCCCTCCTTTGGAATGCATGGGATTGTTTGCCATGCAGACTCATCTATTACACTATTTCCTACAAGGATTAGCTGTCATATGATTGTTAATTTTTATTATATATTGTAGGTGTGTGTCTGTCTGTCTGTGTGTGTGTGTGTGTGTGTTTGTGTGTGTGTGTGTGTGTGTGTGTGTGTGTAAGGGCTGGGCAGATGGAAATGTGATACAGGACTGATACTGAACATGAAGCCCTTGGGGATTTAGGGTGTGTTTTTGTTTATGATGTGTATTTGCTGACATCAGTAGGCCCATTACATACTTTCTTTAACTGGAATTTCTCCTGTGTTCTTTTACTTTTTATTGCAAACTGCTGGTAGACATTTGTCAGACTTTCATTTTGAAAGACCGCCTTATATTCTTTTTGCACATGCACAATCATCCCAACGCACAGTAATAGGGCAGTCAATGCTTGTTGATGAAGAAGACACGAAGCGGGAACTAAAGGTTAAACGCTTGAAACGAGTACAGAATCTCATTGGCTCACAGATTAGATTTTGCATTCTAATGTGCTGATTTGCATCAGTTTCAAATCATAAACAATACTATGCAGATGTGTCACCTGTCTGGTCAGCCACCTGCCTGTTGCCTACCCTTTTTTTCTGAGCTAACTATCATTATCACATCATTTTACTTTCCCTCATCCAACTGTCTGTTTCTCTTTCCTTTAGCTGTTATCTCTCTGTCACTTCTCTGTCTTCCCTTGAAATGCCTGAGGCAGGTCTGCTCATGCAAAACCAGTCCAGATTGGAACTGCCAGTGTGTGTGAGAGTATGTGTCTGTGTGTGATGATCCGCCCATTTTCCCATTCTGAACGCTTCCAGTAGGTCCACACCTCACGGCCAACCCCCTCAAAATGTCCAGGTGAGAGCAAGTCAGACAGCATCGAACACAAGGCCAGCTGGGACGCACTTGGCAGTCAGGAAGCACCTCTTTTACGGTGTGTGCCTAAGGTAAGGCGCCTTGTCTGTAATAAATGATCAAAATAGCTGTAATGTAAATTAATTTTAGTTTAATTTCAGTTGAATATTGGAAAGAGGACAAAATGAAAAAAAAGGGACAGTAAAAGGGCAAAAGTATTGTTCATTCTGTTCCTTTTCTATCATACAGCGAGGGAAGATCTTGACATACAAGATCTGAGGAAGAGCTCAGCCCTAGCACGTACAAAAGAATGAGATTTGTAAAGACAGATAACTTGAAGCAGTGCAAATAAAACTATACACGGATTGCTTGTGCTTAACTCCTCAGGCTGATATGTGTTCCCTTGAAAAATGGAACAAAGTCAGGTTCAAGGTAAAAAGGCGCCGTATATGTGCGAATGACAGAAAAAGAATGAAAAGCAGTGCTGGGAAGAAGAAAAGAAAAAAACCACACAAGAGAACTGCAACCCCACCTTGTTAGCCAGAAGCCTTGACTCATACAATGTAGTCTTGATGGATAGAAAAGTATTTGCAACCAGCTCAACCTGTAGAGCAAGTCACAGTCAAACATCTATCACTGTTTCATATGAGGTGGTTATATATGTACACAAGGAGATACAGACATAAAAGAGCTTGGCATGGAGGATCAAGACAATTTACACAAGTGTAAAGAGTAATAACTAAGAATAATGTGGACATCCCTGCCTGTATGCTGCCTGTTTGTAGGACACTGAGAATGTTTAATGGTTGTTTGATTTCCTTCATAAGAATCAAAGCTCTTGCACACTGCGAGAGGAGCTTGCACTAGAGCTGCATTTGCATCGCACGGAGTACGGATATTGGAATCAAATGCATCAAATAAGCTGCCGCTTCTCAGTTGAGAAAGCATGATACGTCTCGTCTGTCACAACAAAGAGAAAGACAAACATGCGGCAAAAGAGATAGACGAGGCCCGGCTGCTGTCGGCAGGGAAGGCAACATTGCAATCTAGAACAAATAGGAAAACAAATTGTGGTCCAGCTTCGCCATCTCCCTGAGACAAGATATACTGTTGTCTCTGAGTTTTTTTTTTTCCTATCTGGGCTGAATGTCACCACAGAGTTTGTGTATATGTGTGTGTGCATTTTGTATGAAACTGAGAGAGTAATCACACTGATAAATCACACACTCTATATGCTTGGGCAAAAATAAATCCTATTATATATGCATTTTTCTAAGGATAAGTGTGTTTGTGTCTAAACATGCTATTTGTGAATTTGTCAGGCCTCTGTGGTACTTCTTTAGAAATGATATGTCCACTCAGGAGGAGAGGTAAAGGGGAGGTAAAGCCAGCAGTGATTGAGCCTGTCTGGCTGTCAGTAGCCTATGTCGTGATTCTGAAGGCATTCATTGAGTCAAATCTTTTTATGCTGTGCAATTTAATACACAGGAATCCTGGATGAGAGAGAAAATAGCAACTGATTTGACAGCTCAATATGTCTACAGTGATGCCGAAACGCGGAAAGTGTTTCTGAATTCAAATACTCTGGATTAGACGAGACAGAATTGAAATGGAACAGTGAACAGCGAGGCTGTTATCCAACTTGTTCCCCGTCAGGCTGTGAGCGTTCACCAGAATGAGATGTAAATGTATAAGAGCATTTTTTTCAATTGTAGAAAGGAAATCTTAACCCTTGTGTAGTGTATCAGACACTCATTATGTTTCCACTTACATAACCAAATCAAATATGTATTTCAGTGGTGTTTGCACCCCCCACTCAACAGTAACACAACAGAGCTCCCAACCCAAACTAAATCTGTCAGTCCCTTTCAGATTTTAATGGCAATACTTCTTTTTAAACACACATTCTGTAACACGCATGCAAGCAGACACTTAAGCACAGCTTCATTTACACCCCACCACACCCCAGGGAGAGAGAGAAAACAACAAAATATGAAAGTACACTCACACACAAACAAACACAGCCAACTGACTACACAGGTGATCCACAACAGTTTCATCTTTAAAGTCTGCACACGATCAGACCATTAAATCCACATGCTAATATTTATTTCAAAAATTCCCCCCTCTCTCTCTCTCTCTCTCTCTCTCTCTCTCTCTCTCAGAGCACAGGGTCCCATGGCACAATCATAAATGAAATGCTTTCCGTTAACAGAAGAACCAAGACTGCAATAGGCATTTGGGATTAAAGAGATGACTGTGGCTGCCACACTTTTCAAATAGCTGATTAAGAGATCTTGAGAGCATTCGTTTGTCTTTCCAGCACAGGGAGTCTCCGAGGATGACTCATCATTGATGTATAATGAGTCAGAACTGAAAAGGTAGCTCTCTGTAAATACAGATCATGATAGGGACTATGTTTGTGAAAATGATGTCTGGTTGCTTTGTTTTCTCACAGCTGATTACCATTTCAAAATTGCTTTTTGTTTGTGATTGTTTACTCAGCTTCTTCGGGTTGGGGAATGGCACAGAGAAGTTACTATTGTATATATAAATACAAAAACTCAAATCTATTCTATTGTAATTCGAAATCAACCAGAAAGTAATTGGAATTTTTCTTGTGATTCCCATTTGTTAGAAAAATGTATAAATCATTGAAGGAGCTCAGTTTCAGTTCAAGTTCAGTTTATGTGCCTGTGGAATACTCTTCAGTCTGTGAAAACTGTTGTATGATATCTCCTGGGGCGCTGGAGAAGCTTTGTCAAAGCTGAGGAAAAAAAAGACTAGATGATGTCATGGTGGTGTCACCAGGTTTATATCAGCTACACATTTATAACAGAAAGTCTGCATTATAAACTGGCAGTGTGGAGTTTGAAACACGTGGGTGCTTACCAGGCAGGGAGAGTGTGTAACAAAAGATTCTGTCTGATTGCATTATGGGAAATATTGGATCCTGGATTTTGAGGTATTCACTTAATTTTAGAAACTAAAAGTCAGGATATCTCAGCTGCTGCATCAATTTTGACCCTTCATTTTCAAAATTTCTCTCTCAGCTTTAAGAAGATGCAATATTAAATCACTGGAGTATAGGGTTTGGTAACTGGCCAAATATATATCCGCTATCTGTGATTGGCCTTTGCTGGTTGGCTTTTTGGGCAATTTTTGTCTTTTTATAATGCTACTTTAATGGCAGAAGAACGAGTGAGAGAGACCTGCATGAATATATTTTGGCTATCGCCAGGTGTTGGGCTCACAAATCGCCCAACCCTACTGTAGTATTCCCTTTAAACCATGGTGCAATCCTTGCTTTATAAAATTAAATTAAATATAGGACAAGAGGAATGTGTAGGGCTCTTTATCTTGTAAATGGAGAAAGAATTTTGTTGGCTCTTTAACTTCTCCCATTGCTCAGGTGAAGAAGAAGCTTGGCCCACCTTGTCTCCTGAGGAGCTGTTTATTCTCCTTCAGCCTCCTCCACCTCCTCCGCAGGAGTCATGAACTGGTCTGCATTGGAGGCACTCCTCAGCGGGGTCAACAAGTACTCCACCGTGTTCGGCCGCATCTGGCTCTCTATGGTCTTTGTCTTCCGGGTAATGGTGTTTGTGGTGGCCGCCCAGCGAGTGTGGGGTGATGAGAGCAAGGACTTTGTGTGCAACACAGCCCAGCCGGGCTGCAACAACGTGTGCTATGACCACATCTTCCCCATCTCCCACATCCGCCTGTGGGCCCTGCAGCTCATCTTCGTCACCTGTCCGTCACTGATGGTGGTGGGGCACGTCAAGTATCGGGAGAAGAAGGACATGCAGTACACCGCCTCGCACAAGGGTTCCCATCTGTATGCCAACCCTGGGAAGAAACGTGGAGGGCTGTGGTGGACCTACTTGGTAAGCATGAAGGAAAGACATTTCTGGCCTTGCTGTACATGCCAAAACATAAAAAGACAAGACACAGCTGTGCTTCGGCCTTGACCAAACTGAAATTAGTTGCATGGATGAGTGGCTATGTACAAAAGGCTGGAGAAAATGTTTGTGTACTTATATCTGATTGTTTTGTCCTGATCACAAGAGAAAAGGTTTTGACAGCTTCTTTTGCACCAATCAGAAACAAGTTTCACCATCCCTCCAAACTGAACTTAAGCTGTATGAGTTATGAGCTCGGAATGCTTTTTATTATAGATCCCGCTTTAGGTCAATTGTCTTACTTCCTCCAGCCATTATCAAACGAAGAGCAGCAGTGACTGAAAGATTGGTTGCATATTTTTTGATTGACAGGCATTTATTTTACACTTACTAAAAAATGTGTCTCCCAGTTTAACCCTCATTTATCTTCTCACAGGTGAGTCTGATTTTCAAGGCAAGCTTTGACGCCGGCTTCCTCTACATCCTGTACTACATCTACGACGGTTACGACATGCGCCGCCTGTCCAAGTGCTCCCTGGAGCCGTGCCCCAACACGGTGGACTGCTACATATCGCGTCCCACTGAGAAGAAGATCTTCACCATCTTCATGGTGGTCTCCTCTGCAGTCTGCATCTTCATGTGTATCTGTGAGATGATTTACCTCATCTTCAAACGCATTCAGAAATTAATTAGGAGAAAGAAAGAGGCGGATAGGAGGATTTTCGCAGAGAATCACGAGATGACGCCACTGGCAGCACCCAGGTCAGAGTTCAGGTCCAAAACATCAATCAGAGTGGATCCCACAGCCTCTATCCACAACCTCAGTAACGCCAGGTCAGAGTACAGGTCCAAAACATCAATCAGAGTGGATCCCACAGCCTCTATCCAGAACCTCAGTAACGCCAGGGCTGAGGAGGGGCCATCTAAGAAAAAATAACATACAATATGGCAGTAGTCATGTAGAAAGCAAAGTACTCAAGGGACCACTTCAAGCAAATGCATTCATCAGATTTTGTGGAGAACTGCTGCACGACACAAAAGATCATCATCCATCAATTCAGAGATTTCTGAGACAGTGTTTTGTAAATATTATCATGTTAAATGACTTTTTACAGGAATGCACACCTTATGCATGCAAATTAACCCCTCAAAAAGGATGAGTTAAATAGGAAGGTAAAGGGTTTAGAGTATATTTTGGTACTGGTTTGTGCAGTGAGTATGGATGTGTGCATGTTTGTGGTTTTGTGTATGCATTGTTGTCATATGTATATAAGCTGTTATGTCCGGTTCTTTGTAAATGAAACTTTAAATATAAAATGCTGAAATTCACCAAGTAATGTAAATGTGGTATAGAGAGTGAACCCTTTTCCCCGATTATACACACTGCCCCCTTATAAATAAAACAAGCCTTCCTTCAGGGGAAACACAGTAACCGGCAGAAAGTACTTGAGGGTTTTTTGTTTGCAGATATTCAATATGAAGAAAACGCTCTTGATTGTTTAAAAGTGACTTTGACTCCGGTTAACATTATGTGTCATACAATTAAATCAGAATTGCTGAAGGTATAATACATGTATGAATAAATGAAAAAATTATACAAAATACATTTATATATTTTTATGCTCACAAATTTGGTTATTTGAATGAAGATTCCAGATATTATATTTTGTTTTACATTTTGTATTTATTGTTGTGATCCATAAAGTTATTTCTATGTTATACATTTCTGCCTGTGTGCGCCCTTTGTTCTTTTTGACGAGCTTTTCACAATTATCACACATGAAACCATTTGTAGCAATCATTAAAGGATCTGACTGTGAACATACAGTATGGGAAAGGAAATGAGACATTTTGTCTTGTTTTTTAAATTTAATATAAAATAATATAGGCTACATTGAAATAAAACAATAGTTAAGCATTGGGACCCATATCCCACCAGTTCATTGTGAATTAGTTTATTATAGTAATAGTATAGTATTTTTTTTCACAGTTACACAGTTCTAAAACAATTTACAGGAAGAAAGAAAAAGTCATAAAAACTCAAAGCTGAGGAAAGAAAGGTACAAAAGATAAACTAATAGATGTACATTACGTGGGTGGGCTACAGTACGTCTACTCACCTCATGTATGTGTACAATCAATTAAACGGGATACAAATACATCCCTATAATATTACCGAGTCAAAACTCAGACTAGTCTTTACATGTTTACACAGAGAGTATCGCGTTGCATTCATGACAGTGACGGACACGGTGATTCATACTCATTTGTTCTGTCGTCATCACTTTTCCAGTCTGCCGTCCAATCAGAAGCGGGGGACGCGGGTGCGGTTTTGACGGACCCGGAAATGCGCCAATAGCTTCGCTGAGCCGGACGCTGCCCTCTCCGCCTTCACTGCTGCCTTGTTGAAGGAAGTAAAGTCTGTCAAACATGAGTTTCCACTACGGCCAGGTATCAAAATACTACCTTTTCTGTTTCGTCTATTTTAGTTACAACAACATGTTAATATTGTCAAATGACTGTACTGTCTGTTGTTTTGCCTTCATGTAACGTAACTAACTAACTACCGTTAACAGTGTGTGTCACAGAGACACAAGTATCGTTAGCCATTCATGTGTTTGCTAAAGATAGCAGTACCGTTCAACAGTATAAACTGTTGCTATTTGTCAGTAAACACTCAGTAGCTTATGTAAATGTGTGTTTTGCTGACGTTATAGTCATTTAAACTGCGCTGACATTGCTGGAGTTTTAATAATAGCATAGTTTGGAACAATATGTGACTGCTGCAGTATTCCCGTTTGTTAAATTGACCAGGCACTCTCGTTTGATTCTTGTTTATTCATTTGTGTGTTTGTGTATTACGGTTGTTGTTTTTTTTTGTTAGTTTTTTTGTGCGCAGAATGTTACTATTACGTTTACTTCATGGATGGAAGAAGTAGTTTATTCAGAAGTGAAAGTAACAGTACAAGGCAGAGATTCAACGTTTTGTACAAGTGAAATACAGAATATTAGCTAAATGTTGAAGTTAGAAAATAAAAGTAGGGAGAATTGCATTATTATTATTGAAACATGAATGTGTAAACAGCATTGAAACGTTGAATAGAGCTCATTTTGCCTACTTTTTATAACCTGGGTAGCTTCTTATATAACAATATATCATATTTTACAAACTACTTGTTTTAAATAAATACAATCTTAATCTGCAGGCTGCTCCCAGATACATGTAAGTTAGTGCTGTAAAAAATAATATGTAACTAATATAGAGTACAAAGAAGTAGAAAGTGGATACAAGTACCTCAAAACTGAACTTAGACACAGTATTTCAAGAAATCTACTACTAAGTGAGTACCTCTGTACATATTACGTTAAGTAGCTTATATATCTGTGTTACTCAGAATTTTACTACTGTTAGCATTTTGTTCATCTCACAAGAGAGGATATAGAGAGGTTCCATCTCGCCACACACAGCCCATTTATTCCTTGTATTTATTGTACATTCTCAGTGAACTTGTCTGTCGCTATAGGGCTATCCAGGAGGAGGCAACCCACCACCAGGTGGTCAGTACGGGGGAGCCAGTGGTCCCTATGGGCATCATCCCTCAGCTCCATATGGAGGTCATGCACGTCCACAAGGAGGACCCTATGGCGCTTATGGAGCCCCTGGTCAGGGAGGGCAGTACGGGCATGGACAAGGGGTTGCCCCTGGCGGTCCTTATGGGGGTTATGGGGGACAACCTCATGGTGGACATTATGGACACCATGCTCCTGCAGGTAACTATAGGCGGAGACTGCAGCTGTGTGAGCTTATGCAGTACCTTTGGCTTGCAGGGGTTGAACGGGCATATTCTGAACATGAGGAGACTGCAGATAGGCTTCCATTCCCCCTTTTTCATCGCTTCTCTTTCTCTTTCTCTCTCTCTCTCACTTTCCGGTGGGATGATGGATAGAAAATGACTTACGTTCCCAGACAGTCATGTAGAGACAGGGTTCAGTTTGTGCCCCTCAGCAGGATTACACGGCTGGAGTGATGACTCCGGTAATACTGAGTGAGGGCTAAACAGAGTAAGAGACAGATGGGTATAGTGTGTGTGTGTGTGTGTGTGTGTGTGTGTGTGTATTACCCTGTTTCCTGTAGCAGCTAAGCCTAAGTCAGAACCTGATAGCCTATGTTGCCATCACTCCACACTGGGACAGAATCCATCAGGGTTCGAGCTGAAGTGTCACCTGTCCCTCTCTCCCTATTCATTTTTCTGACAACTTTTCCCCTCCACTCGTCTACGCCATATTTCCCAACACTTTGTTTCTCCTCCGAGGTGTGTTCAGGCAATGGCCTCTTGTGAAGTGACTTTTCCTCGACCCTTGACCCTGCTGCTACCTTTCTTTCCACAACCTTCGCACCTTATGTAACACTGTGCATGTATAACTGAGGTTGGTGTGGTATTCTTTAGCAGAATACCAACTGGTTTCCCAACTGTAGGGAATTTATTGGGTTTCCCCATAATGGAAGATACATTATTTTATTATTTTAATGAAATAAATTGGGTTCTGGAACTATTAAAGGTTATTTACAGTGTCACAAACCAGTATTTGTCACACAACTGTAATTATTTCTTCTCTTTTTTCTTCCGGCAATAACCTGTCAATAGTATCTACTAGCTGTTAAACTCAATCGCATATAAAATGTACTTAGCCGTAGGAATTATATTCGGCGTATCAATTACAATAAAATGTATTCCATGTTATAGTCTGTATAGTCGTATACCGCACACTGTTTTCCAAATCAGTGCCTTCTAAACACCGAAGCCCCAAAGATTGAATCAAGCACAGATGTATTATTTTTTATGATCAAGTTTCTCCTTGATAGAGTCAGCGCCATTTCCACTGTCAGACAGTGGAAACTGGTTTCTTCATCTCTCGATAAATAAATAATTATTTTGCGTCGGAAACGAGGCTGCCGCTTCATTTAGAAGAATCTTTGCAGCCTTTTTCTTCGCTCTCCTCCAGGCACACACACATGTATATCTGTTACTCCTCAAAGTCTGAGAGCTTCAGTGAAATAATAACTGGTAGAAATTCTAAGAATGGGAAATGATAAAGAGAATAAATCAAACTAGTTGCCTCAGACAGATGCAGCGTGCTAAGAAAACAATCTTGTTGTGATCTTCAAAGTCAGTCTGCACCACCCCTCGTTTCTTCACCAGCTTATTACTGATGAATTTCTTCTCTGCAGGTAACATCCCTCCTGGCGTTAACCAAGAGGCATACCAGTGGTTCCAGACTGTTGACACAGACCACAGCGGCTTCATCAACGTAAAGGAGCTGAAGCAGGCACTTGTCAACTCCAACTGGTCTTCTTTTAATGACGAGACCTGCCTCATGATGATCAGTAAGTCGAGGCAAAATGACACCATGTTTAAGTATGTAAAATACTTCCAGAGACCTTAATGGCGATGGGAAAGGCGAGGGGGAAGTTATTTGGGAAAAACAAATCAACACAGGAGTGGTGAGACAAAGGAGTTAACCCATGAATATGCCAAATTTCTAAACATCTTCTTTAGGCTGGTAGTCTGCCTAAAAAAAATACCTGAGTCATATTTGTCTAGGTGGCTGTTTGCTGTCTCCCTACATTCCTGTTGTATTTGCCAGGCAGTGACTAATGTGTTCCATTACCGTAATGAGAAATGTGTGACTTCTATAAGCTACATTTAGATACCGCTAGGAACACATCCATGGTGATAGACGGCGGACTTGCTGGAAACCTGCACTTCCCATTTGTGCTCTGTTTTGCAAGAATAACTGAAGAGAACTGTCTTTTTTTCTTTTCTTTTCCTTTTTTTGTTCGCCTAAACGTGCTGTGTTTTTTCTGTCCGGTTAGACATGTTTGACAAGACGCGGTCAGGGCGAATGGACCTGTTTGGCTTCTCAGCACTGTGGGAGTTCATGCAGCGGTGGAGAGCGCTCTTTCAGCACTATGACAGAGACCGCTCAGGCTGTATCAGCGGCACAGAGCTACAGCAAGGTATCCCCGTTTGTGTGTGTGTGTCTTAAAATGCTTTCAGTGAGCTATGCAATCTTTTTGTAAACAAAAATCATCGGATATATAGAAACAAAAATTAATTCCCATCTTGTTTCTCTATTCTTCTATCCGTTTCCTCCCATCAGCTCTTGCTCAGATGGGCTACAACCTCAGTCCCCAGTTTTCAGAGACGTTGGTGCGACGCTTCTCTGTGCCAGGCAGCCGACCCGGCATTCAGCTGGACCGCTTCATCCAAGTCTGCACCCAGCTCCAGACCATGACACAGGTGTTCAGGGAGAGAGACACGGCCATGACGGGCAACATCCGCATTAACTATGAGGATTTCCTGTCTGGGGCCGTCACCAGACTCATGTGAGCCTCATTCCGCGGACAGTCCCTCTGCACTGTGGATTCACAGCATCATTCCATGTTCAGGTCATATTTTCAGTGTTTAATGCTCTGCCATAAGTGCCCCAGCCTGCTGGTATGTATACAGTATATCAGCCAGTACGCATTATTCCATGGCTTGTTGCTGTAAGTAGATAAAGCCTTACACCCTGCACCTGATGGAAGTTCAGTGGCTCTTATAAAGGTAGCTAAAGCCTTTACTGGATAGCTTAACTTTCACCAGGGCATCAGCAAGAAAGTGATTGTGGCTTTATAACATCAGTCACCGTATACTGAAGGTCCTTAAAACAGTAACCATCTTACCATAGATGCCTTGATGGCAGTTACCAGGTGTCTTGTTTACTAGTACCAGTACAGTGATTTAAAATGATGAATAGTTTAACTGAGATACAAGTGAGCACTTGTTTACACATGTTTAATACACAGCGTTGACCTGGCAACCCTAGAGGAAGTAATAGATTAGTAAATGAAAGAATAACAAAATCCACCGCAGATGATTTCTCTGGTCCTACAGTAGAAACCTGCATTCCACTGCATGACAATGATTCTGCTGAACTGCAAGTTCATCTCCCGTGACTTTTCTCAGATGCAGCATTAACATGTTCCCGTGCCATCAAAATGATTTCAAATTCTCTTTTAAGTGTATGCATATCGGGAATATTCAGCATTTCCAGAGGGCATTTCCATGCAATGGTTGCACATTGTATTGAACATTGCTTTGCATTGCAATGAGTGTAATTAAGCAAAAAAATTAAAAAAGGGGGGCTGCATTTTATAATATCAGAATTCTCTCTCACACACTTAGTGGGATTATTATTATCATTTTTGCCAAATTGCACTGTAACTCAGTATCAACCATAAATAAAACACTCCAGTGAGTTATATGTTCTGAAACCAGTAAACATGCCAAAATGATTTGTAATGCCAAAAACAAATAAATGCTTTTCTATCACATTTTGATGTTTTCATATTCTTTATTCAGATTTTTAAGAGTTTTCTATTTCATATTATAAGAAGCTACATACTGAATGCAGTGTTTGATCTGGATCTAAAAGGTAAATATTGTGTAAATGCAGCAGTACCATGGCAATACCAACACCACTTTACTGTCAATGTGACAAGTGTTGCACATTTCTGTGAGGTCGAAAGGTTTTTTGTTCTGGTCTAACTGAGGAAAATAACTTCAGCTAAAGTGCGGCTGTTATTGTTTTTTCTTTTACAGCACTCATGGCTAGTTGAAATCCCAACTCTGCTCATGACCTTTGAGCTCAAAATGCCCAAAATCAGTTAGTCATTTCTCCCTTTGTAGGGAAGATTAACCACACAGAAGAGCAAAAAGCCTCTGTTTTCCCCTTCCACATCTGGCTCTTCTCTCCCTCACCATCTGTTCCTCTGCTTGATCACAGCCTGTGTCAAGAGTCCTCCTGCTTCTCCTCGTCTCTCCCCAAATCAGAGGCAATCCATCAAATTCTCCTGTGCATCTTTTTTGGTCGTATCCTGCTCCCGTCTCCTCCTCCTAACCCCTCTCCCTCCATCTTAATCTGAGGCTAAATTTAGCTCTCCCAGGTCCTTAAGCGCACTTTGAGTCACATTCTCCCTGACATCCCCCCTGTTCGGTTGACATGTCACCTGAACATGAATGTGGTTTAGTGTCTGCACCGCTTTCCAAACATCGAGTTTGGGGACTTAGAAGTGCACTAAGCTTGAATTTTTCCAGCCTGTAGAGAGCATTGCAGCAGCCCTTTTCTGGCTCGTGTGATTCAGCAGTGATTTAGCCTAAGTCCTGATTGTCATTTCCTGTGTAATGAGGAAATTTCCCACCACTGACCATGCCTGACATCTGTAATTAACTTGGGCAAATAGAGCAGGTTTATGGGGCTTCAGTTAGTGAGGATGTGACGCTCCACTCTGTCAGCCCCAGTTTGCGATCTGGATTGATTAGACAGTTGTATTTTTACGTTAAAATCTTGGCTAGTGCTGCTCTAAACCTCATTTACTAATAAACAGGGGCTGATGAAATAATCCTGGCACTGCTGAGAGTGCTGGTGAAGCAGAACTGGCACTAGTAATGTTGTCTTCCCGCAAGGGATGAGAACATTTCCCTTTATCTGACAGGACTGATCAAATGCCAGTTCTGGCAACTGCTAGATGGACAGCGTAGAGGGAGGAACTGCCTAATAGAATCATTTTGAAGCATGAAGCATAATCACCCACACAGAATCCTGTTAATCATAATAATTCCAGTAGTCATTTGAAGTAATGATAGCACAGAAATTGGGATATAGCTCCTTTTTCTCAACTTTCTGCTTCTGCACAAATGACCGATGAGTCAGAAGTGGTCATCGCTCCATGACAGGCTGCAGTCCAGTCGCTATTGATCAGCTGCACTCGGCATTACTGTACTTTTATGGAAAACCTTTTGAGTCTAGTCTAGAAATATCCGTGTCATCAATCATGCAGAGATTTGCAAAGAACACTTACCAATTCCCTCCCCAGAAGTAGCGTAGAGGAATATTTTCTTCCCCCTGTATTCAACTTTGCAATTTCTGGTTTCCCAGTGGATGACTGAAATTTACACCGTTTCTCTGCATCCCTCACAAGCAGTTAAAGTAAACAAAAACAAAGCTTTTTAAAACTGTTTGTGTCTTTATTGAGTGTACCAAGCCTCTGAAAGTGTCTGTGTCTTTGTATGCCAAAATATGCTTTTAAAAAAGAAAACTATCTCTGCACTTGTCAGCCAGGAGGGGTAACTCATGCCTTGTCAGCGTATCACACAATGCTGGTGACAGATCTGTCAGCCTTTCATGAGTATTCCTTGAGAGAAGGATTTTGTGCAAGAATGCCATCAATGTTTGAACACAGAAAGATGCTACGGAGGGGACAAACATTCATGTATGCTCCTTCTGACTCCATAGTCACAAAATGATTTTTAGCTTATTTTATTGACTTTTCAATAAAATGTGACGTATTCTTGTCGGGTTGGGACATTTTTGTCTCTGTTGTCAAAGGATACAGAAACAAGTAAAATTACTTTATAAATGTTGCAATGCTGTTTAATTAGCATAATATGTAACCCGGTTTGTAGAGTCTAGTTTCATCTCCTGCTGCTGTTACTCTATAGTTTATTGATTATCTCAAATTGAATGTATGTTTTTTTATTTATTACCTATAAAGACACTATTGTGAAATATTACACAGTTTTTTCGGTACCAGTAGTAGCTGGAGACTGTTCCTTCCCTTTGTTAAATAAACAGAATAAACAACAACATGCCTGTTTTGGTAGTCCTCATCTCAATGTAGTGTACCATTTTCGCCACTGGGCGGTGGTAGAACACCGAGATAACGCAGCTAAAACCTTCTTGGTTACAGCAAAGCAAGGCTCATCAACCAATGAAGTTTAACCAGGAAGTGGAGAGACAGTCGCACGGAAATTGCGTTCATCCACTGCCGTACCAACGTGCTCGCGGTAAAGGTGATTGAAACAAACCAATGTCATTCTCAAATTCTTAGACAGAGAAACAGCACAGGGAGTTTGTGTTCTAGCAAACGGAGCGGGAGAAGGGTTAGCTTTAGAGTGACACTGCACGGATTGTAATGTTACCATTAAGTTAGCTTTACCATAAGGTAGCCGGGTACAAGCAGTTTCGTAAAATGACTGGCAGTGAGTGAGCTAGCTGGAGCTATTCTAACGTTACATAAGTCATCACCTAGGAGTAGTCTTTAAGATGTTAACTATTTATATGGTACTTTAAGGTGCTCTGGTGCGTTTATTCGAGTCCTGTTGCTCGCCATTGTTTGGTTAGGTTTGGTTGTTGGCCGACGCCATTTCCAAAGTCCGTAATAGATTTGACAGTTTTACTTTCCTCGCTGGTGTGCAAAGTAAACTATACGGCTTCGGACATAAAGAAATGTACTTTACAAATGTAGGCGAGACACTTTAAAATTCGGCTAGGAAACAACAAACGAACAAAAACAAATCATCATAAAAGTTTAACTTGTAAATGATAACGTTATCTATGCCTCGAAACAACGTACCGTTGACTTTGGTCGTTACATTAACACCGATAAAGCCAGGCTAACGTTATACTGACATTGGTGGTAATGTTGGGGTCTTTTTGGGGTCTTATGGGGGACTGTTTTGCTCTGTGCCTTCTTGTTGATTTTGCCATTAGTTGTGTGGAGCTGAGTAAAGGTGAGGAGGGCACAGGAAGGACAGACTTCATGTCTAGTGTCTGACCGACGTCTTGATACCCTGATATAAGTGCACATACTTTAATGGGTACAGTCCATTCCAGAACCGTTCATTTAAATGTAAATGATGTCCATGTTTGAATATTATTACATCACTTATTTTGAAATTGTGAAGTTATGTGAATAACACCTTCAGGACAGGTTCTCTCCTCGGTGGTTTGAAGCCTGATGGAACAGAAAATTCTCTTTTATAAGTAACATAGTACTTTGATGTTGGTTACAGTCTGTTATTGTCGTCGGTTACATGTTGTACATAATTTCATTTAACCATCAGAATCAGCTTCAAACCACAAGGGGGAACCAGCTGAGTAGAAGTGCCTGTCACATTTTAGATCAGAACTAGCGAGGGTACAGCACTATTTCTCCTGTAATACTCCTACGGTAATGTAATTGTCATTTAATGTAAGCTAAAATGCACTTACCGCTTTATTTTTTTTCCCCCCATGGAGCACCGGATAGCCAGAGCAGTGTGCAGTCATGTGGCCTGTGGTTTGGACGGCGTTACGGACCTATGCCCCTTATGTCACCTTCCCTGTAGCCTTTGTGGTGGGAGCAGTGGGTTACCACCTGGAGTGGTTTGTCCGGGGCACCCCTAAACCTCGAGAGGAGAAGGGCATCCTGGAACTACGGGAGGAGAGGAAACTGCAGGAACAAGTGGGTATGGACAGCACCCAGGTGCTTAGCCTGAAAGAGAAACTGGAGTTCACACCCAGAGCGGCTCTGAACAGGAACCGACCCGAAAAGAGCTAACCCGTGTTGGTGTGAGGGACTCGCATTCGCCCTTTCTCAGCAGGAGGGCACTGCACAGGGAGCAAAAGGGGGTGAACCAGAGGGCAAAAACACCCATTCAGCCATACATTCTCACTCCTGACCACTCAAAAGCATCAGCTTTCCAGTGTAAACATGGGCTACTGTTCAGAAGCCAGAGGGTACTTATAAAAGACATATACTTGGTCTTTTATCAAGTCAGACATAGCTTATGTGTGCTGTATGTGATTCTTTGACCTTCCCCTTGATGTTGCGCATGCCTGTTCATGCTGTGATCGATAACTAAAGCAAGACGCTACAATTACAACATCTTGAATACGAAACGTACGGGTGTCCAAGCTTCACACTGATGACAAGGCTGATGGGAGTCTGTCATTTTCTGTTTGATTTAAATCTAGTTGTGAGTACTATTACACACATTTTATTGTGTGTTTGCTGTTAAATCAGACAACTGTCATTTCTTTGTCGTTTCTATCATAAAAATGTTTCAACGTTGCAAGCCTGTCAGAGTGATTTTCCTTTTAATCTTTTCTGTATGTTAAGAAAGGACCTCTGATTGTGAACACAAAAGCCGGGGGGAGAAAGACAGCCCTTTGTTCTAGTTCTTTTTATCTCTTGCAACCTTTGATGGTATGTGACAAAATAAGCCAACCGTGTGGGAGGTCTCCTCAGGAAGTTTAAGCTGCTTAGTCCGATTGTTTGAAACATCCACCCAATATTTTCATTTTCGAAAGACTTCATTGTTGTTAATTATGTGTATTACAAACAGATGTGACGAATAAAGAAACATTGTAAGTTGAAAGTGCTATATTGATATTTCAGTTAATGTTGGCATCTTCATTTTACAATCGTCCAAGGGTAATTTTCACCAGTTCTATTGATTTATTCTAACAAAGAAAATAAGTTTCATTTTGTATCACTTCTTTTTCAGCAGCATTGTTCAACATTCAGGACCAAACAAATATCTTATCCAACTTGATAATGAAACAGAACTGCAGCCAAGGACAGAAAGTAACATCAAAGTCAACGGAAGGAAGTAATGACTCAGCTCATTCAGCTTCAAGAAGGAAATTATTTTCGAGGGAACACTATAGACAATGTAATGATAAACGGGAAAACCGGCATCTCGATTCACTGTTTGGAATTTGACCTGTGGACCGTTCTGTGTCCAGCCTCTGGTACAACAAAAAAAAAAAAAAAAAAAAGCCCAATCCATTAGAAACATCTATATTTTTCCGTTTTCCAGAGCTGGCTTAAAAATTATCTGAGGAACGTGACAAAGGCAGCTGCTTTCAAATAGGACACGAGGGGTCATTGAATGGTTTGAGAATGAAAATGATGTGAATGAGTGAATGACCTGTGGGACAATGGAGGGGGTTCCGGAGACTAAGAGGTTTTTGTTGGTTTTTCCCTTTTAAATTCTCACCCATCTGTATGATACAATAGACAAAAAACAGACATATATTTTGACTGTTAAAGACACATGGAACTATTAACTTTATTAATTAATTGCATTGTATTTAAGTCCATATAAACCATTAACTTTAAATTGGAATATGTTTACAAACTACAAGTAAATTATAAAATTTTAACACAAAATGACACTTAAATCCATCCCCAGTGCATGCTGGGAGACTACCCAGCAGACTAACTTCATGTAGGTGCTTCACTCAGCCAGTCACGAGTGCCGATTGTTGTTTCAACTCTCTACTCACGTTGCCTTTATTCCAAAGTAAGAGGGCACTGATCTATCTAACATCAACCAGGCGAACCTATTACTGCCTTATTAGCTGGATGAATTACCAGTATCATTTTAGCCTAGTAACATGTTAGCCTGGATTAGTTAAACCACGGAGGAAGAACAGGGCCTTCAGAGGTCAATCTGCATTTGTTATCAACTCGGATGAAACTGTAGCACCCGGAGAAAACCCACGCAGACGTGGGGGGAACAAGTAAACCGTGCAAGCAAGCATTGCGGTTAATTTTGATATGCATCTTACCACTACAAGTACACTACAACAACACAGGGAGTCATGTGAAAACATTCCTTTTCATAAAGGCATCGGAAGAACAACATGAGGTTAAAATTAACTTCATCCTTTTAAGGGCAGCTTTCCTCTCTATCTCACAATCCATCAGTAATGTCACAGATGTATATACTCATCCAACTAAAACAATATAAGTAAGGATTAAAAATGTGACATTACTACTTTTTGGAATCATATAATAAAGTATATGAAACAGGATGTAGGAAGCATTTCAGTGATGTTGCCTTTACCCGACATGACATTGGCTCTCCCTGTGTAGGCAGAAAGTTTCCATACATTCAATCAAGAACATTTTTATTATCTTCATTATTAAAACAAGAGCAGTGATGTGGTCAGGCAAGACTTTAATAAGAAATTGTCACTGATTGAAGTTATTGGTGCCATAAACGCTCCAAAATGAGAAAACTTTATGAAGCTTTTTAAATCAGGCATGTGATAACTCACGTGCATGAAGAGGGATCTCTAATAATTATTTTGTTGACACTTTTACTCCAGTCCCGCAGCCTTTCCTCTGTTAAATAATGAAACCGAAAGGTCCATCTCTCCTGCGCCCCGGGAGCTCTCTTAATGGATGATAACCTTTCCAGTGTGCCAGGATAAGTTCCGCTACGTTAGCCAGCCAGCTAGTGAAATAGGGAAAGATTATGAGGTCCAGATTTACATTGGCACCACAATGGTGAATGCTGCGCTATCGGCAAGTAATCAGCTTGTACTCCCCTCTTAAGTTTGCTATCAGTGGAATGACCCGCTCCACTCCGGTGACCTCAGTTGTGCATGTTTGGAGTGGCAATTATTTCAAGCTGGTGGAAGTTTCCATCTGAAACGAGTGGGGATGGAGAGGCTAAATTACACTGAGGGAAAGAGAGTTAACAAGGAGTGTGTTTCGGTGTGTGGAAGGTGTGTGCGTCCTCTAGGGAACAATCACAGGACAGGTCGGCCCATCTAACAATGGCTCACCTCCTCAGAACTGGACAGTACTGTGGGAACCAAGCACAGAGACTCATGGGAAAGGAGGGGGATGTTTGGAGGTGCTCCATTGTTCTTGCTGGATGGTGGGGATGATGGGTGTGGGTGATGCTGGTTGTTCTTTTTTTTCTTTTTTTTAAGGAGGTCCAAACCAACATCCTGAGTGGACAGGCTGGAGACAGTGTTCCCTCTGCTGCAGAAACAATAGAGCCGTCTGCCTGCTCGAAGGGCACCACATGCCATTAAACAACCACACACACATACACAGGATCCAGGAATACAGGTATTGCTGTATATCAAACTATACACAGAGGACACGCCTAAACATAAACATATAAAGGATCTCACACTTGTATGGGAAGTCAAAGTAAAACATATTTGCAGGTACATTCTCACAGTGACATTTAAAGAATGAAAAATATAACAATATTAATTTTAATTAAAGTTCTTTCAAATTGAAATGCGCTGATTATCCATAAAAAAGTAGTATTTGCAGGCTTAATTCAGTATATTGTTGTTTTCCTCTTTCCTCTTAGAGCAACCAGACTCCATTGACAAAAACAGTAATTTTTTGCAGAACAGGAGTTGCTGGTCTCCTGCTTCTTTAGTTGGATATTTTGTTTATGTTGTTGTGTGTCTTTGGTGTTTTAACGTTAGCATGGATCTGTGTTAAAACTAATGTGTTAAAATCCTATGGTTAAAACTAACCAATCAAGGCAGCAGCTTCCTTTTTCTGTGAGGTCAAATTACTGTTTTTGTCAATGGAGTCTGGTGGCTTTGGTTTTTGTAAGTGCTGGTTAAACAAAAAGGATATAACTCTTTAAAAAAAGCTATATGTCTATAGGGTCCTTTCCAAAATGTTGTCAGACACTAATAACAATCTGTCAGTGGCGAAACCAAGCACTTTTAGTGGACGTACATTGACTGTGCACAATACCTGGAAGGATTACATTGCAGTTTTTTTTCACGTCTGCCACCTGCAGTGCTCTCACTCAGTACTGGGCCAATTTCAAAAATTGTTGTCCCCATTAGTCACTTAGGCACAAAAACATGGGAAAACATGATTCAGGTTGAAAAATATATAAGTTTGAGAAATTATAACCTGAAAAGGCTGTTGTTGTGAACCTGTTAGCAAACAGTTGCCTAGTTACACTTCCAGCCGACACTGAAACAACATTAGCATTAATTTTGAGTCATGTTTCTGGCCACTTGACAAATGTAAGTCCATTATTCACTCTCATATAGCTATTTTAGTCTCCACAAACCCCTGGCTGAAAGTACCTGGCTTTTTACTTGCTACATGCTCCACTACATTTCACAGTTAGTTGCTAACATTGTCTGTCATTTGGTTGGTAAGTTGTATACTGTCTTTTTAGCAGAGCATTTTCACTGAAAATGGACAGAAACAAGGTTGATGAGAGCAGTGAGAGCAAACCAAAACAGTAAAGTTGTGAGATGTAAAACCAAAACAAGACCTGAAAGATGCTAAAATGGTCCTTAGAGCTGAGGGGAACTGCAGAGTTGGACGATGATTCTCTGCAGGTTCATCAGAAATTGTCACTATGAGCATTACATTCACATTTAGTCATCGGACTTACTGTTAATGTAGAAATATTAGTGTAGCTTTATAATAACTAATTAAAAAAAGAACCAAAAAGGGCACGTCTCTCCACTCACTCAGGTCACAACTATGGTACTACAACAGTCCTAAAACCTACCTGTAATTCAACTTGACAACCAATAACTTAAGAGAGACCACCACATAAACATGCGTAAGCCTATTCAAACCCCGCACCCCATCTCAGATACACACGCACACACACTCTCTGCAAGCTATAAGTGGTACCAGCCCTCTTAATTGACTCCAGCCGCACAGCCGGCACTCTGCCCATTTCCCTCATCCTCCACTGGCTTTTGATCAGGTGGCCTTGACATAAGGTCAACAAAACACAGGGGAGCCGGGATGAAACAATGCAACAATGCCCACTGCGGCCCCATTGTCAGGGTGAACAATTCCAAACGACCAATCCCTGGGGAGAAACAATACTGGAACAGGAAACAGATACAGACCCCCTTCCTGTCCAGAGTTTAAATTTAGGAACTGCTCAAAGCACGTTTGTGTTGTTTTTTTTTTGAGTAGCACAAATGCTCAAATTAAGTGGTGGGTGCTTAGACGTGACATTGTTATGGATACAGATAAAGTCGCGTGTCGATATTGTGTGTGTGTGTGTGTGTGTGTGTGTGTGTGTGTGTGTGCGTGTGTACGTTGAGTGAAAGAAGGGAAGTTGGCACACAAGGCCTTTCATGCATACACACACTGTAACATAAACACTAAACCCTGAAATGTGGTATTTGCTGTGCGAGGCACATTATTTCCAATTGAATCCAAAAAAGAGATATTGCATAACATCAATTAACCTCATTCACCCTGCTGCTTGCTATTTTAAGCCTTGCCGGTCCCTTGTTTGTGTGTGTGAAAGTCTGAGTTGGTCTTTCCTAACATCTTGACTGTGTGAGTGCCTTGTCTGGCAGAAACATGGGGCTTTTGGCAGTACAGCTGGTAGGAAGTACAGACCAACCTGTTTTGCACAGGGCTGGCACATAGGTGTACCCATTAGACCCTCCATAGAGACCTTTCCTACCGTTGCTACTTGAGTCTAAAAGTATCTTGTATACAGCGGTGTGTGTGTGTGTGTGTGTGTGTGTGTGTGTGTGTGTGTGTGTGCTGCGTACACTCATTCACCAAACTGAGAAACTGCCTTTCTTTGTGTGTGATTAGCGGCATGTG